GGGTAAGTAAAATTCTGATGCTCTAAAGCCTGGACTGTCGTGGCCAAATTAAAGGTGTTTTTTATTTTTTATTTTATATATTGTTAGTGTTATTTACCAATGGAGAGCATAAAATAACACTAAATTGAAACATTGAAAGTCATCATCCATGTCAGTGTCACTTCTCATTTGAATTTTGCATCAAAAGTGATTCTGTAAGTTTGACACTAGGATGTAATTTCATAAGGAATGCATAAGCACAAGTACTATTATCATCAGTGAGCTGACAGTTCTAGCTGAACTACCTGGCCACCTGGGGGTGTTCTGTGTGGAGTTTGCATGTTCTCCCAGTGCATGCATGTACAACATGCCCAAAAGTCTGCGTGTGAATGACTGTCTCTGTGTGATAGGCCTGTTATAGACTGCCCTGGGTGCAGGTCTCTCTCTGTGTAACAGTTGGGCTAGGCTCCAACACCCCAGTGACCCTGATTTGTCCAAGCAGTTAAAAATGGATGGATTTTTCTAGTAAATGTATACATTACATTTATAGCATTTTTAAAGTAATTAATATTTCAATTCAAATAAAAGACTGTAGAACATTTTTAACAAGTATACAGTAGAGAATGCACCTGCTTAATTCAACCAACTAATGATGCAACTGAAACTTGTTTTTTCTTGATACTGGCCACGTTGGACCAATTTTGTGAATAAAACCAGAAAACCTATGCAACGTTGTTGAACAATATGCTATTGTTCAACAAAATGATGCAATCAAAAAGTGATGATTAACCCTTTTAAGATTTCACTCTACATTAAATATTATATAACAATGGCACACCTTGAGCCACTAAGACAAACTAACAAAATCTGCAACATGCAAATCCAGTATTTCTTCTGCATGCATTGCTGGGAGGAGTTCAGGCGTAGGTTCATAAAAAAAAAAAAAAATTAAAAAATTGTCAAAGTGTCATTATGCTTCATCATTCAAACTTGCAGAATGCATTGCAGAAAGAACATTAACAGTTCATATATAAGTTAAAAATAACAGCTGCCATTGCTTTGTTACTGAATGAATGTTAAAGAATGTTTTAATTTTCTTTTTAAATAAATCAGCTGACAACTTAAGGTGACACAAATATGTCAATGTGTAGCTACAGGTTTACAAGAGATAACAGAAATTTAATTTAGTTGTTTATTAATTCTTCAATTATACGGCAACTACATTTAGTCACATAGCTCTGGAAAATCAGAAACTCCAACAATCTGTACAATCAGATAAAATATGAACACAAAATCATAAGAAGTACTGCAATCATTGCCTTTCAGCAATGGTACTTAAATATGATGGTTGAGCACTTTAGCTAGAAACTTGGTTGATACTGACAAACAGAAAAGAATTAGGACATTCAAATACAAACTTCAGTGTCAAACACTTAAAAAGGCAAAATTCAATCATATTTAGAATAGTGATTAAAAAAAAGATTCTTTTACAAAAAATGAAACAATAAACCTTCAGTTTTGGGCAGCAGTCCTTGGCTTATTGTAAACTAGGAAGTCTGAGATGTCATGCCACACGTTGCTGTCATGATAGAGGTAGTTCATGGAGGACTGCAGTGATGGCTGGAGTGTATGTGGGTAATACTCAAACAACCACAAGACGATACCCCAAACTAGCGTGGCAAAGAGTGGGAAAGGGTCATGCTTAGGCTGTGGGATGAATCCTTTCTCTACAGCCAGCCGAGACAGGGCGAACAGGATCCTGGACAGCAGGTACATGTTGATCTAGAGTAGAAAGTAAAGAGTTGTATAATCGGAACACAGACAGATGCAACAGGCAAGTTTGAAGTTTGACACCCACAGGCTGCAGTTTGTCCTACCTGACTGTTAATGTTGTTGTTATCGCCAAACACTAACCATCCACCAACACAGGCAGCCAGAAATGAGTGAGACTGTAAACTCTTTCCTTGAAGTTTCTGCTGCAAAGCTTGCAGTCCTTTGTACGTGAACACAAAGCACGCCAGGTTTCTGGAGTGGGTGTATGTGGCCTTCAAAATGGCTTTGAACTTGTCCTTTAAACTAGAACACAGGAGGAAAACGGGATGTTTTAACACTTCAGAGGCACGCGAAGTGTAGCACAGGGTTGTTTGGTTTTTATATATATATATATATAAGCTTGAGATTTATGCCTTACCTGCCACTTCTAAATAGAAATGTCATAACCAGGGCATGTGGTGCTCTGATTTTGGCCCCATATCTGAGAAATAAACAGAGTGTTATATAAGTGCTTCGCTAAAAATCTCCACTTATTGTTATTATCCTCAGCGGCTGCTAAATCCACCGCCAAGTTACCAGTCTGGCTCTCTGCCATGACAGAGAACAACAGCTAAAGGAACAAGTGCAATAGTCTAGCTGATAGCAGTGTAAGTGTAAATAAGTAAATAGCGTATTTAAGCTCGCAGGGTGCTCCACTGAACTCACACAGCGCCGTTCCTGAATCCCTTCAAAACTGCCAACGCCGCTTTGTATTTCTCCTGCTGTAGAAGATTATTGACGGTATACAGAAGAGTTCTTATCAGATCAGGACCTGCCATGACTTTCAACGGAACCGAGGGGAAACAGATACAGGTGGGACACACCAGTGCAGAATGCTGTGTCACATTAAAAACGCACCCTGTAGCCGAGTTCTATTAAAGGTTCCTACGTGTGCAGAAGCGCAGCTCGGTGAGATGAAACTAACACTGAGGGGGAAAGCGGTAAAACACCACAAAACAGTACAACAAGATACTATTGTGTGGTTACTGAAAGTAAATAAAATTGTACAGGACGTGTCTTTACTCTTAGTTTTTTTTTCAACATCTGCTTAAATCCAACAAAATCTGAAGTAAACTTTAACTCGATGAAAACTACACAAAAACAAACAAACAAAAAAATGGGAAAAAGAAAATAGGTAAATAATCAAAAAATACCGAAGTGTAGTAAAACTCTAATGTTATTTGAAACCGCTCCACCTGTTGAAAAACACACTTTAAAAAAGGTATAAGAAGAAAAATATATTTACAGGTAATTTATCTGAAAACTCTTCAGTATTTTTGCACAATGCCACGAATGACATGAGGAAAAGAGCCTACTGCACCTCATTATTATTGCACTGCAATTAATTTCTGACTGTAAATTAAATGCCTAATTTTTGATACATCACTGCACTAGTTATTCATCTTCTGCTTATTACATAATACAAATGTAAATATCTCATATGAAAACTGAAGTATTTTTATGTCAACCTTCACTTTAAAGGCCTAAGACCAAAGACCAGTTTTTGACTTTATCCTGCAAGAAAGGTTACAAATTTTAGGATGTTAAAATAACAACAAAGAGAGGCCATAATTTGTTTAGAGGTATCAGCATGTACACATGCAGTATTCTAGCACATTTGCCAAGACACCACCCATGTAATTCAGGCAGACACTTTACTTATGTAATAGATTCATACAGTTCCCCATCATTTCTTGTTCTTATCTTTAGAAATGTCACCTTGATAACTATTAATAACTTATAGTAGATAACTCTAATAGAAATAAAAAAGTACCATATGCTTATAATACAAAAGTCAAGTTTTAAAGAAACAATAATTAATATTATGTAACAGAACAATTAGCAGACAGCAGTTTCTGAGTCACAATGTTAAGTAATGGCTTATGACATGCACATACAGTGGTGTGGTGAGTACTATTAATGTTACTCTTTGGGGTGGAAGAAAACCTATTCTAAAAACATGCTCATTTCTTATTTTAGTAGAATTTGTTCTGTCTATTAAACAAAACAACTAAATATGAAACTTTAAGGAAACTGTGTTAGTCATTTAATTATTGCATATTACATAATGTAAGAGTGGATGCTTCATACAAGTACTAATGTAAAATTATGCAATGAATTCTAATTGTTATTTTTGTGCTCTCCATTGTATATTTTGTGATTCTTATGTTCTTTGAAAAGCATCACCCTTTTAACCAGGATTTCAAGTAATACTTACATCCACACTATAAATGCTGTCTAGAAAATCATTCTGTACAATACAATTATACAATTATAGTTCTACAACTGTTTACAACTGTTTATAACTTGTATAGTTTCATATTTATATCCTGTTCATAGCCTGTACAGCTTGTACACTCACTACAGCCTGTACATACGTATAGTTATAACATATTCATAACATACCTTCATACCATATACATTGTAACATACCCATAATAGACCCATGGTTTGTACCCTCTCTACAATAGACCCATTTTTGTAATATATCTATATATCTATATTATCACTAATATATATTTTGTTATATATATATATATATTGCTAAAGCACTTTCTGGATGGATGCAAACTGCATTTCGTTGCCTTGTACTTGTGACAAGTGCAATGACAATAAAGTTGAATTCTAATTCTTTTCTACAACATACAGTTGAAAGAAAGCAACACAACATTCTCCAAAGTACAAACAGCATAGTGAAACAGTGCTAGAACTTGATAGTTCACTCACTGTTTCAGCTGTTACATAATGGAGTAAGCATCATCCTGTTAAATGATGTTGCCAAGAGCCATCTTACATACCATCTGGTGTATTCTGGTACATTCTCTGTGTCAACACCCATCAACATACCCAGCCTATGTAGTTTTGTAACAAAGAGAGTTCTCGTTTTCTTTCATGTATCTTCTGTGTGTTTTCAAAGACCGCAGTTCTTACATAATTTAGGTCACTTTGCTAAAAGTAAATGAAGACAGCACTCTGACAAAACTGTTGGAGACAGAGATAGATTTGTTTGGGGGAATTTCAGCTCGCGAAGGGCAACAATAAACCCAGCAAGATGAAGAGATCAATTCAAGTGGAAGACAACATTAAAAAAACCCAAAAAAAACCACAATTATTCAATTAGACTCGGAAGAAATATACTTACAAAATGAATGAGTTGTGTGTTGTAAGTTATTGTAATGTACGTGTACAAAATACTCATCACACTTTCAGTGTTTTAATTGTTTTATTGCTCTTTTTTAAATCTACTAAATCCATTGATACAAGAAACTCATCTTCCTAATATTTATCCACAAACTTCCACTTGTGTATAAAAAATGTTAGTCTACTATTCGAATGACTGTGCAATCAGAACAAGTCAAACACCATTTTGCATATTTTTTAAATATATTCATCTGCCCCATGACCTGGACCACAGTGGTGGTTAAACACAGAAGTGGTTAATTCAACCACTCCGTGTCAATGTGCTGTAATATTGTTACCTGTTAAATATTCAACAGTCAACATACTTAAAAAAAAAAAATGCAATTTTTTTTACATTAATCTGCACAGGAGTAGCTACACTGCAAGTGTATGGGTGTACAACCAGTAAGGGAATAGAGGTGAAGTCAAGTGAAACATCCTACACAATTAAATGAAGAAAAACTGGTATGTGGCGGTGGAGGTGTGGCCTGAATGAATGTACTCATCACAGCAACGAGGGATCACTTACATCAGACAAGTCCTTTTTTTTTTTTCCTACCTGCAGTGCTGACGACATGAAATGGAAAAACAGCCACATGGTTCACACACGAGTACATTAAAAATGACAGTATTTTGTCTGTTTACATTTCAATCTGTATCTTAAAGACATCATGTATAAAATCATTTTCTGGGCCACACACTGGAATTACTGCAGATAATTTACACCACGCTGCCAACATACACACTACCACAGGTTGAAGGCTGGACAGTGGGAAGAAAAATAAATAAATTAAAAAAAAGAAATCATAATATAGGTTTTGGGCCTGTTTATTCAATCCTGTTTATAAAAATTTATTAAGACCTACTGACCTAATAATCTTTTCAAATGTGCTTACTTTCACTGGCTACATCTTTGTTTCTGGTGTCATTCACTTGTATAACTACATTCTAAGTAAATGGGGAAAAAAGCAAAGTCTTTTTATAATGGCAACAAAATTATTAAAACGTGAATGTGAATATCATAATTCCTCAGCAAGGTAAATTTGTTTTAAATACAAAATATATTTTTAGTTTTCTTTTCTTTTTAGCAGAACAGAGCAGTTGCCTCCTTTGTTTTAATTTCTATACTTTACCACAAGTAAAACAAATAACAAACTCTTAGTACTGACCATTGATATCATGTGTGTAATTACTTTGGGGGGACTGTTCGGAATTGATTACCTCTGTTAAGAGTTCTTTAATTAATTTAACTCATTTGTTAGACTGGTTCCAAAGATTTTATTTAAGTGATACTTTACCTAAAATAAACTATATCTGTCAGCAGACAACATTTTGAAAAGTCATGAAATACAATACAACTGTACAAATCTGAAAGCCATACGCCCTATAAAACTAGGGCCACTTGCTATCATAATTCAGATCTTATTTCACATCTTGCCAGCAACTCGAGAAGTTCTATTGCTAAAATAAGTCACTTTCCTTTTGATTAAACTTTGGAGTATATTTACATAAACTGCCTTAGCCACAGATAAATTTGTTAATAATCAGAATAGTCATTAATCCTTTTTGTTGTATTGTGGTATCATAACATCATCACACACACACACAAATATACAATTTTTTAAAAACCTTTTTGTTTCCTAATAAATGTGCCACATTTTATCTATTTTGTGGGAGAGAAAAAAAGGCGGCGCCCTCAGAAACCCAGCGTCAGCACATGTAATACTTTGCTCTGGGCAATTTGCAGAGATCGGTTACCATCTCATGGAAATTGTTCATTGACATTCCACATCATCAGTAACAAGTTAATTATCAGGAAAAGCCCGTCATGTTCCCTGACTGACAAAAGTGCTGAGCGTCCACACTTAAATCTGATTTCAGACAGCACAGTATGGGAAGGTAATCTCTTCTCAAATCACAACCACATTAATCTCACCAAATATATCACCAACTTCATATTGGAATTGAAATCAACACTAAATGGTAAATATTATCAAAGTGTTATAAAAATGATCAAACAGCTTTGACTCTTATCTGGAAAAATGTTTCCTACAAAACAATTGCACATAAAAATACCACATCTTTCAAGAACAATCAAAGCATCTTACTGCTCACACAACAATGTGCAAAGGTACTCAGCATTTTAACTCATTAAAATTTTAAGAAATAAACCTGTCAAAATAAGATAAAGTTATCATTATGTTTTGCAAAAAGTGTTAAAGAAATTGTATAAGTGCTACGGGAGTCTTTACAGTCTGTCAGTCAGCGATTGGGGGGGGGGGGGAAGAGATTCAAAGCCATGTGTGAACCTCTGATGTTGTTTTTAACATATCAACTTCCATCCTTTAAGACAAAATGCACAAATATGGTTCTTCATTCTCATGCATAGAACCAGAAAGTGTCTCATAAGTTTCTACTGCATATTCACACATGTAGATGTAGAAACTGCAGTCAGTCTTCATACAAGTGCAAACACGACAATGCAAGAAAGGCCCCGCCTCCATCGCCTGACAGTGGATTAGGAAAGAACTGATCATCTCTTACTACAGGAAAGAGGTGAAACCAGGTTAAGAGGATTTTTAAGGTCTCGTTTGAAGCAAACTAATTTTTAACAATACAGCTTTTTCTTTATGAATATGCAATTGTGACAAACTATAAGTAAGTAATAATAAGTTCTTCCACCAGATCATAAGCAGCTTCTGACTACAAAGACAATCTGCTGGAAAGTGCTCTTGTCTGAAATGGATATGGCTCCTCCAAATCCACCACCATCCTATACATTTGCACTTATAGTTTTACTCCTGCCCGAATCCTTCTGTTTCCTCTATGGCAAACATGAGTTTCTCCTTCAGCTGTTCGTAGCTCTTATAAGGAGGGAGGTCCAGACGATTAAAGCTACATAAAACAAGAAGACAGAAACAGAGGGTGGCCAGAAGTGCTCTATTAGTATTAAGTTAACATTTTCTGTCTAGGTCATTCATAATGATGACAAGTGTGTTGTGTTTGCATTTATAAATGATAACATTTATTCAGTTGCAGTAATGTCCCACGGTACTGCGCACAGCGAAGACATCTGCTAAATAAACACTTAACGAGCAACAATGTATTCTCACATAGCATTATATAACAACAAACACCAACATCTTAGGCTAAAAATAAAGGAACGCTTGCAACGGTTGAATCAGAAATGACTAATAGGGTTTGGTCATGAAAGTTTAATCCCACATTAAGCCGGATATGACACGAGATTTAACACATGAACTGAAGAAACCTGTACAAATGTAGAATTACTGGTCTTACCATGTGTGGCTTCGTGGAAGCCAGTTTTCTTTTCCAACTTTCTCAATGCAAAACTTCTGTGGACCATTGCTTCCTATATTGATCAAAAATAAGGATAAAGAGATTAAATATGATTTTGATATCACATACTGGTTTATACTACTGTACAAATGTCATGTGTCTGTTCACTGTTAATACCCATTAGATCAGCGAAGCCGCCCACGGGAAGACGACAGGTTCCTGTGACAAACTGCAGAAGTCTCATCCTTTTTTCGTTGTCCATCTCCTTCACAAACTGTTAACAGACAGTTTTGTGTTAACACCAGTATCAGGCTGATATCCGTACATTACAGTGATACTAATTTTCCATTTGTTGTTTTTTCAGTTGGAAAAAGAAATATTCACACTGAATTAATCAGCTACAGCTGATTCAATAACATATTATTATTATTTTTTAATTACCAACCTGCCAGAACCACATTATCTGCTTGCTAGTTCGGGCATAATGTCTATAGATTGTGTTTCTCTGCCAGTCCACCAAGTCTATCTCCTGCATACCGCACAGCATCACCTACAGACAAGAAGGGGACATTTTATAAATAAGCCCAACATTCATGTTAGTATTTATTTTCTCTTATTTTTTAAAATCCATATTGTTACAGAATCCCTGTAGTATTTAAAGGACCAGTGCTACCTCAAACACTTGTAAACGTTATAGAGCATCATCTATTGACTTCAGTACCTCTAATTCTCTAGCATCAAAGTACTGAAGGTATTGCTGTGGAAGAACTTCATTGAAGCCCTCAAAGAAAGCCTGTGTCTGCTCCTCCACACCTCTGGATAGCCTCCACTCTGCCACTAACCTGCATAGAGATGACATAATGAAATATTAATAAATTAATATTAACACACTATAGAGATGTCAAGTGCTGCTTAAAAATGAACGTTTTCAAGGAAAACAGAATTATTATGTCCGAATTTAAATGTTACGCTTGTTTACCACGTTATGTTATGGAGCATGTAAAAGTAGCAAATGAATATGGACGGTAGGTAAGAAGTTGTACCTGATGTATTCCTCTTTATTTTCTTCAGTTACTAGAATGTTCCCTCCATCTGGTTTAAGCTCATGTGTGGTGACCTCCCCAAGTATCTCCTTGTCAACGGAGAAGAACATCTCCAGACCGCACTCCTCTATATTATTGTCCCTACAAGCAAGACAATGACAGTTACCGTCATTACTGACAATGTTTACAAAAAAAAAAAAAAAAGAAGTTAGCTATTATGTCTGCTCTAAAGTTCACTATAGAGTCCTATACATTTCCACAGTAAGTGACAAATTATGGGAGCATAAATCATTTACTCAAATAATGCACATGGCCCAATCTGTCCTCTCAAACTCTTCATTTGTGTGCATAGGTTATCAAAACCTAGTATCTAACAATATGCAAACATATTTAGGAAATGAAAATATTTTTTAAAGCAGCCCAAA